AATCCCAGCTAATCTGGAGGCTAGGATCTGAGGATCATAGTTCAGAGCCAGTCCCAGCAGGAGAGCCACTGAGACACATCTCCAGTTACAGACACACACACAAAGCCAGAAGTGGTGCTGTGTGGCTCAAGTGGTAGAACCCTACCTACCCTTGAGTGAAAAAGCTCAGGGACAGTGCCCAGGCCCTGAGTTCAAGCCCTGGGACTGACACTAAAAAATTAAAAAGCAGAGAGTAGTTTGATCATACCTGTCAGCAACTCATTCATCACCTTTTACATGATGATTTATTGAAATATTGATAGGAGTCCAGGCACCATGGGCTCATGCCTACCATCATCCTAGCTACTCAGAAGGTTGAGAATCTGAGGATCTCAGTTCAAAGCCAGTGGGGACAGTAAAAGTCTGTGAGAGAGATCTCCAATAACCACCAAAACAAGCTGGAAATTGAGCTGTGGCTCTAGCGGTGCAGCCCTAGTCTTGAGCAAAAGAAGCTCAGGAATAACGCCCAGGCCCTAAGTGCAAGCCCCGCTATGGCAAAAAGGAAAAAGATTGGATAGGTGGATAGATACATGGATGGATAGATGGACTGATAGGCAGGTAGATGGGTGAATACATAGATCTAGAGATGGATGGGTGGATAGGGGGGTGGATGGATGGATGGATGCATGCATGAATGGATGGATGGATGGATGAATGCATGAATGGATGGATGGGTGGGTGGATGGATGGATGGGTGGATGGATGGATGGATAGATGGATGGGTGGATGGATGGGTGGATGGATGGATGGGTGGATGGATTGATGGGTGGATGAGTGGTGGTGGAAGGATGGATGGATGATAGGTGGGTGGATGGATGATAGGTGGGTGGATGGATGGGTGGGTGGATGGATGGATGGGGGGTGGCTGTATGGGTCGGTGGATGGATGGATGGGTGAATGGATGGATGGATGGGTGGGTTGATGGATGGGTGAATTGATGGATGGATAATATTGCAGGGGTAATCCTTCATTTACCATCCGGGTATCTGCTGGACAGAACAGCACTGTCCCTGTCTCTCTCTCTCCCCCCCCCCCTTCCTCTCTCCATCCCAGGACTCCCCTATTTCCTCCAGGTTCTGCCTGCTCACCTGCTCAGGCTGGGCTGCTAGCACCCGGCCCCCACAGCTGGCTGCACCTCTGGCTGAGAGAGTCCCCAAGACACAATTGCAGGTGTATGTGGCCAATGGCCAGCCATGCCCGGGGGAGGAGGGGTGGTGAGGTGGGATCATGAACTGGGGGATCCTGCTGTGAGTCATGGACATAGCTGGAAGAATGGCAGAACTTTCCTCAGAGGGGGGCGGGACATCCTGCAGAGGGCGGGACATGGCTCCCGGCGTGCCATGGTAACAAAGGCACAGGGTTTTCCTTACACTGCTTGCCTGGGCCTCGGCTACCAACAGAACCACAGAATAGAACTCCTGAGAAATTCTGCTTCCAGAACTTCTGTCCCCAAGAGCCCCTGGGAACCAGAGCTCACTGGCCGTCAGGAGCACGTGAGTTTTCAAATGGGGTGATTTCTGCCTGTGGGTGAAACTTCACATGGTAAAATCTATCCCCAGGTGCACCTGCCTGGTGTGGGGGGTTGAGGCCTGGGACCTAGTCACAAAGCACAGGGACTTGGGGGATCCACAGAGGCTAAAGTGTACTGGGGGAGTCTTGGGGCGACACTGAGGTGGGGAGGTAGCAACCTGAGGAGGGACTCAGATACAGCTGGCTCCAGCCTACAAGACACACCTCAGAAGATCACAGAAGCCTGTTCCATCTAGAAATGAGCACATTGCCTTGTTCTGCCCAGATTGATATACTTACTAGCTTAAGAAAATGCACTCTTGGGGCTGGGAAGGTGGCCTAGTGGTTAGAGCGCTCGCCTAGCATGCATGAAGCCCAGGGTTTGATTCCTCAGTACCACATACCCAGAAAAAGCCCGAAGTGGCACTGTGGCGCAAATGTTAGAGTGTTAGCCTTGAGCCAAAGGAACTCAGGGACAGAGCCCAGGCCCTGAGTTCAAGTCCCAGGACTGACAAAATAAATATTTTTTTAAACCCTGTTATTTGAAATCAACCTTTAAAAAAACAAAAAGGAAGACACATTGTTGTCTCTTGGCTTCTATGCTCAAGGCTGGAGCTCTTCCATTTGATTTTCTGGTGGTTTATTGGAGATAAGAGTCTCACGGACTTTCCTGCCAGCCTGGCTTTGAACCACGATCTTCCAGATCTGAGTCTCCTGTATAGTTAGGATTACAGGCGTGAGCCACCAGTGCCCAGCTTTTTTTCTTTTTCCTTTTTTTTTTTTGGCTGGTCCTGGGGCTTGAACTCAGGGCCTGGGCACTGTCCTTGGGCCTCTCTGTGCTCAAGGCAAGCGCTCTACCATTTGAGCCACAGCACTAGTACTTCTGGCTTTTTTTTTATTGTTTATATGGTACTGAGCAATTGAACCCAGAGCTTCATGCATGGTAGGCAAGTGGTAGCACTAAGCCACATTCCTGGCCCCCTTTTTTTTTTTTTTTAAGAGTACTGTTTGAGTAACAGTTTCAGACAAAAAAACAATACAAAAAAGAGTGCTAGCTGGGCCCTGAGTTCAAGTCCCACAACTAACAAAAAAAAATTTAAACAAAAACTAAAGTAGCTGTATTAACATTATGGAAAAACCCCAGTGTATAGTAAAATAAACCAACGAGAAAAGTAGCCAAGAGTTTGTGCAGAGGTAGGGAGGTTGAATATATGATGGCTCGGGATGTTGGGTTTTGCATAAGAACAGGGCCACCCACTTGAAAGGAACTTGGCAAGGCAAAATTTACTTCTGCAGCTGCCATCAGCCAAGAATCCCACAAGCAAGCAACAGAGCAGGAAGGCCGCTCCCTTATTTATACCTAAACCAGCAGGCACCACCCCTCTGCTCCCATTGGCTGAGCTCAGGCCCCTCCTCCTCCATTGGTTGAACTCAGGTCCCTCTGGCTCCCATTAGCTGAGCTCAAGACTCCTCTGCTCCTATTGGCCAAACTCAGGTCCTTCTGCTCCCATTGACTGAGCTCAGGTGGCTGAAATCAACAGGATGTAAGCCTATTCCAGGAGCTCCCCTCTGGACATCTTCATTCAAGTGCTCAGGAAAAGGATGGATGTCACTAAAGTAATTCACAGGGGCCAAGCCACCGGCCCAGGCAGGAGCCATTTAGAGAAGCAAGTCTCTGGAGACTCACAGAACGGAAGCAAATTTACTTTGGTAGAAAAGATGGGTTTTCTCACGATTCTTTTGGGCCATGATATTCTTATCATGTGTGTGTGTGTGTGTGTGTGTGTGTGTGTGTGTGTGTGTGTGTGTGTGTGTGTGTTACCCTCTGTTTGTCAAAATCTATAGCATTTGATAGCATGAAGTGAACATATATATATATAATTTTTTTGTGCCATACTGGGACTTGAACTCAGAGCCTGGGCATTGTCCATTAGCTTTTCCTCTCAAGGCTGGTCCTCTACCACTTGATCCACAGTGCCATTTGCTTGTGTTTTTTTTTCTTTTTTTGCTGGTTCACTGGAGTAAGTGTCTCTTGGATGGGCTGGCTGTGAACTGCAATTCTCAGATCTCAGCCTCCTGAGTAGCTAGGTTGAAAGGCGTGAACTACCAGCTCTGGGGCAGATGTCTCTTGATTAATATTTACCTATAATAACTATTCATGCTTTTGACCTCTGCCAGTTTTTGCTCTTGTGTTTTAACTTCTTGCAGGGTGACCAACTTGTCATCCGGGTTCTGACGATTTTGAGACAGAAGTGAATCTCTGGACAAGCCCAGAAGACATGGAAAGGGTAGGTTGTGAGCAAACTGAGAAATGCTCTCCAGCCATTTACAAACTAATCAGATTTGTTATTTTTTTGGACGTGTTTATTTTATTTTATTTTATTTTGGGTCCGGTCATGGGGCCTGAACTCTGGGCCTGGGCACTGTCCCTCAGCTCTTCAGCTCAAGGCTAGCGCTCTACCACTTGAGCCACAGCGCCACTTCCAGCTTTTTCCTTTTTGCTTATGTGGTGCTGAGGAATCGAACCCAGGGCCTCAGGCATGCAAGGCAAGCACTCTACCACTGAGCCACCTTCCCAGCCCTTGGATGTGTTTATTTAACCTTCTTATTTTTCCTGTGTATACATATTTACTTAAATATATAAATGTATATTATTACATAAATTAGAATGCACAATACATATTTATTTGTGCTAGTACTGGGAATTGAACTCAGGACTTGACATCCTTACTTGCTTTCTGCACTCAAGGCTGATACTCCAACCACTTCAGCCAAATCTCTGCCTCTCAACTCTTGTTGGCTAACAGAAAATAAGACCAAAAGTCTCAGCAGGGAACCAGTGGCTCACACCTGTCATCCCAGCTACTCAGGAGGCTGAGATCTGAAGGATTGTGGTTTGAGGCCCATCCTGGGGCAGGAAAGTTCTTGTACCCACAAACCCACTTGTTCCATTGGTCCTACTCTTAACACCTTTCCTATGCTGGTGATTCCTCCTTTATTTTGTGTCTAGGTGAGTGTAGGTACTGGGGCTTGAACCCAACATCTTTGCTCAAGGCTGGTGCTCTACCACCTGAGCCATGCCTCCACTACCAGCTTTTTGCTAGTTAATTGGAGACAAGAGGCTTAGATTTCTCTGTTGAGGCTGGCTTTGAACCAGGACCCTCAGATCTCACCTGAAGCTCTGTTGTTTGATCTTTAAGTCTATTTATTTCACTGGAGACCCTATGGTGTGTATGTGTGCGCTGGTCCTGGGGCTTGAACTCGGGGTCTGAGCGCTGTCCCTGAGCTTTTTTTTTACTCAAGATTGGTGCTCTACCACTTGAGCTGTCTAGGGAGCCCACTGTGCTGGTTTTCTGGTGGTTCATTGGAGATCAGAGTCTCACGGACTTTCCTGCCCCAGGGCTGGGCCTCAAACCTCAATCCTCCAGATCTCAGCCTCCTGAGTACCTGGGATGCCGGGCGGGAGCTGCTGGCTACAGGGCATCTTTGAGTCTCCCCTCCAGCCCCAGGCGGACATCAGGAGCTGGCGCCGTTTGTGGGCACAGATGGACGGGGAGAGGACTATGAAGCTGAGCCTGCAGTCTCCGTTCCTCAAGAAGCCCTCGTCATCGGTGAGCTCCCCGTCCTCGCCGTCCTGGTCACTGGAGATGCTGCTACGCCGGCTGCGCTCCATTGAGGAGAAGCAGGAGGACAACTTCACCAGGGTGCTGGACGCTGTTGGAGAGTTCGGCCGCTTCCAGCGGAGGCTGACGGCCTTCACCTTCCTCCCCAGCATGCTTACCGCCTTCTTCATGTTCATCGACCGCTTCTCGCTGGTGGACCAGCTGCCCTACTGCAACACCAGCTGGATTCTGGCTGTTGGGCCTCATCTGACTGTCGCCCAGCAGCTCAACCTCACCCTGCCCCGGGCACCCAATGGCAGCTTCCAGCGCTGCCTTATGTACGTGCCAGTGCCCTTGGACCTGGACACCATCATCCGCTTCGGCCTCAACCACACCGACATATGCCAGGATGGCTGGATTTACCCCGACTCCAAGATAAGATCGCTCGTCAATGAGGTGTGTCTGTCTGGCTGTGTTTTAAAAGCCAAGTCCTGGGGTTTGAACTTGGGGGGCGGGGGGCCTTGGGCACTGGCCCTGAGCTCTTTCATTGAAGGCGAGTGCTCTACCACTTTGAGCCACAGAGATGGCGCGATTCTGGTTCTCTGGTGGTTTCATTGGAGAGCAGAATCTCTCGGACTTTCCCGGGACCGGGCCTCCAACTGCGATCCTCCACATCTCAGCCTCCCGAGTAGCTGGGATGCCAGGCGTGAGCCACTGGCTTGTTATTGTCTTGATTTCCCCCCCCCCCTCCCAGTTCGACCTCGTGTGTGACCAGCAACCAGACAAAGCACTGTTACAGGCCATATTCATGGCAGGCATCCTGACGGGGTCTTTCATTTTCGGGTTCATCTGTGACAAGTAAGGGCCCCGGGTTTGGTCTCTGGCTTCCCCCACTCCCAGGGCACCCCCACTGAAAGCTGCCCAGCTCTGGGAAGGGAAGAGCATTCCAGGCCCCTAGGGGCTGCGTGGCCGGCCACCTCACGTCCACTGCGTGGCTGAGCCTCATGCGGATGCCTGCAGAATGGGCCGCTACCTGACCATCTTGCTGTCCCTGCTGGGCCTGGCCATCTTCGGCTTCGGGACGGCCTTCGTGAGCAGCTTCCACCAGTACCTGTTCTTTCGCTTCGCCGTCTCCCAGGCCGTGGTGGGCTACACCATCGGCAGCCTGTCTTTGGGTGAGATGGGGTCTCTCTGGGCGGAGCGGCGTGGGCACCACTGATGTCTGGCAGGGAGCAGGGGTGAGGAGGGGGAATCTGACCCTGGGGACTGTCTGTGCTCAAGGCTGCCGGTGCTGTACCGCTTGGGCCGCACCTCTACATCTGGTTTTGGCTTGTTTGTTGGACATAAAGAGCCTCCTTTGATGTTCCTTCTCTGGGCTGACCTAGAAGCACGATCCTCCGGATCTCGGCCTCCCTGAGGATCCAGGATGGCAGGCGTGTGCTGTTGGGCCCGGCCCACTCCTGGCGACTCGGTGGTGTTACAGAATCAATTCTACCCTCTCCTGGCCCCCCATGTTAGCATCCTGTAACCCCCACAGCCTCCCTGAGCACCCCTGGAAGAGCTCTGCCCGGCCCAGGGCGGTACTTAGACCCTGTATCGTTTGGATTGTTTCTGCCCGAGCAGAGACATGCATCTGTCTTTCCTGGAGCAGAGGAGCAGAGCTACAGCTCAGAGGAGTTAAGCCCTTGGCTCAGAGCCACACAGCAGGAAGGAGCCAGAAGCTCATCCCAGCTCAGGCCCCGATTCCGTGTACCATGCAGCCACACACGCACCTGGGAGGGCCCCATTTCCAGATTCTCACAGGGTCTCCCTTCAGGGGCATAGACAGTCAGAAGGTAGCCTTAGGCTGAGGGACCTCCCCTGGAACTCAGAAGGGCACCCATGGCTCACACCTGTCCTCCCAGCCTACTCAAGAGGCTGAGATCTGGAGGATCGCGGTTCCCAGCCCACCCGGGGGTCGAGCGCCAGCCTTGAGCCCAAAGAGGCTCGGGGACGGTGCCCAGGCCCTGAGTTCAAATCCCGGGACTGGCAACAAACAGACACAAATCAACAGGGTGAGCCAGAAGGCTGCCATGGATGAGGACTCTTGGTTTCTCTCGTTCCACACAGCCACGGAGTGGCTGGTGGGGGAGCATCGGACCCACGCCATTGTCCTGGCCCACTGTCTCATCACCATTGGTATCGTGTTCCTGGTGGGGCTGGCCTACACCATCCCCCACTGGCGGCTGCTGTTCTTGGTGGGCGGCGTGCCCATCTTCCCTCTCATCTGCTGCGTCTGGTGAGTGAAGCCAATGGCCTGGGGCCGGTGGGGGGGGGTGTCAGGAGCGGGGTGTGGCGGTGGGAGGGCTCTCCTTGGGAGAAGGTGCATGGAAGGGAGATGAGAAGAGGGAGTTCCAAGCGCTCTGTGGCTCACGCCAGCCCTCCCAGCTAACTCTGGAGGCTGAGATCCGGAGGATCGCGGTTCAAAGCCAGCCCTGGGTTAGGAAAGTCCGTGAGACTCTGATCTCCAAGGAGCCACCAGCAAAACTGGAAGTGGTGCTGTGACTCAAGCGGTAGAGCGCCAGCCTTGAGCAAAAAAGAGCTCAGGGACGGCGCCCAGGCCCTGAGTTCAAGCCCCGGGACTGGGAAAATTAGGCAAAGTGAAGGAAGGAGGAAGAAAAGATCATGGTGACCGCCCTAGGGGCCTCTCAGGTGGCTCATGCCACAAGGCAAATAACCCATCGCTGAGATCCAGGCCGGGCTCATTTGGATCTGGGATAGGCGTGGGGCATGGGGAGGACACCCTGAAATGCGAAGAGAGGGGTGGACCACCCCGCACAGGGTCCTCCCAGAATCCCCTCGCTGGCTGATGACCAGGGGGAGGATAGAAGAGGCCAAACAAGTGCTGTGCTATGCTGCCAGAGTGAATAAGAGAACCATTCCTCCAGGACTGCTCAACGAGGTAAGACTGTGGGGGGGGAGCGAGGGGGGGAAGAATGGCCAAGCAGAGACACCCCCCCCCCGTTTCTTGGCCGGGCGCTGTGGCTCACGCCTGGCATCTCGGCGACTCAGGAGGCTGAGATCTGGAGGATCTTGGTTTGAGGCCAGCCCGGGGTTAGGAAAGTCCATCTCCAATGAACCACCAGAAAACCGGGAGTGGTGCAGTGGCTCAAGTGGTAGAGCACCAGCCTTGAGCACAAATTGCTCAGGGATGGTGCCCAGGGCCTGAGTTCAAGACCCACGACTGATCCAAAGATGACAAGGTCTCGGCCTTGCCCCCGGCTGGTCCTTCTTGTTGTCTAGCTGCAGCTGTCTGTGAAGAAGGTGCCGAAGGCCTCGGTGTTGGACTTCTACACCAACCGGCACCTGTACAAGGTGACCCTGGTGATGGGCTGCGTGTGGTGAGTGTCCCGGCTGGCTGGGGCCATGGGGCAGGGGGAGGTGGCCAGGCACACCACGAAGTCGGGGGCCACGGGGTGGGGGGCAGGTTGGTGCAGGAGAGAAACCAAGGCCAAAGCCGGCCGCTCCCACCTGGCCTCCCAGCCACTCAGGAGGAGGCTGAGATCTGGAGGATCGTGGTTCGGGGCCAGAAGTGGCGCTGTGGCTGAGGTGGTAGAGAGAGAGGGGGGAGAGAGAGAGGAGGGGGAAAGAGAGAGAGAGAAGGGGGGAGAGAGGGGGAGAGAGAGAGGAGGGGGAGAAAGGGGGGAGAGAGAGGGGGAGAGAGAGGGGAGGGGGAGAGGGGGGAGAGAGAGAGGAGGGGGAGAGAGAGAGAGGAGGGGGGGAGGGGGGAGAGAGGGGGAGAGAGGGGGAGAGAGAGAGGAGGGGGAGAGTGAGAGAGGAGGGGGGGAGGGGGGAGAGAGGGGGAGAGAGAGGAGGGGGAGAGAGAGGAGGGGGAGAGAGGGGGGAGAGAGAGGAGGGGGAGAGAGGGGGGAGAGAGGGGGAGGGGAAGGAGGGAAAGAGAAGAGGGGAGAGAGGGGGAGGCGGGAGGGCAGGAGGAGGGAGGCCTGGGCCGGATCCAGCCGTCCTCCCCACCACAACCTCCCCTGAGGGTGGCCTGTCTGCGCATGCGCGGGGGCTGCCTGCCGCACACGTGGGCGCACCTATCCCTGCGCATGCGTCTGTGAGCAGGCGCGCGTGTGTGCTGCCTGTGCGCATGCGTGCCCTCCGGGGTGCCGGCCCGGGCGCGCGGGGGGCGCATGCGTGCCCGTTCGCGCACGCGCACACCGCGCCCGCCGCCGCCGCCGCAGGTTCACGGTGAGCTACAGCCTGTACACGCTGGCCCTGCGGCTGCTGGAGCTGGGCGGCATGATGGCGCTCTTCGGCAAGATAGCGCCCAGCCTCCTGGGCGTGCCCGCGCGGCTCTGCGGCCTCTTCCTCCTCGAGCAGTTCGGCCGCAAGTGGACGCTGGCGGTCACCTTCGTGCAGGCCACGGCGCTCTACCTGCTGCTGCTCTTCCTGCCGCCAGGTGAGCGGGCGCGCGCATGCGCACGCGCACCCGGGCACGCACGCGCGTGCGCACCCGGGCGCAGGCGCGCAGGCGCACAGGCGCGCAGTGCTTCCCTGCCTGCACACGCGCACACACGCACACATGACGTGCACGCAGTCCACTCATGCACACACGCACACATGACGTACGCAGGCGTGCACACACAATGCACACGTGTGCACACACCCAGACGGACACTCGCATCACACAAGGCACGCGTGCCCAGGCACACAGGTGTGCACACACACAATGCACACGTGTGCAAACACACAGACGGACACACGCATCACACAAGGCACGCGTGCCCAGGCACACAGGTGTGCACACACGTGCATGCTCAGGCATGTGCGTACACGCGTGCACACGCACCATGAGGTGCCTGGGGCAGGGATGGCGTTTGTCCAGAGCCGCCATCCTTGTTTGCGGACCCCGTCCCACCATGTCTCCACACCCAAATGCGGGGCTAACGGTCAGATGGGAAGACTATACAGCCCAGAAAAGGAGACCCCCCCCCCCCCCAGCTCCCCACCCGCTCCGGGCATGCCCTGGCCTCCGGTCCACCAGCTCCTCTTGTGCGGCCGCCTGCGCCTGGTCACTCTCGGAGAAGGTCGGGGATAATCTGGCTCACTGGGAATTGGGGTGTGATGAGCACACGCCTGCCATCCCCGCCGCTCAGGAGGCTGAGATCCGGAGGATCGCAGTTCGAAGCCAGCCTGGGCAGGAAAGTCCACAGGACTCTAATCTCCAATGAACCACCAGAAAACCAGACGTGGCGCTGTAGCTCAAGTGGTAGAGCGCCAGCCTGGAATGAAAGAGCTTAGGGACACCCCCTCCACCCCCCCAAGTAAAGTCTGCCAGACTCTTCGTTTTCTTTTTTTGTCAGTCTTGGGTCTCTTCTGGCATTGTGCTAACTTCCTGCCTCAACAAACCCTCCCCTGCCCCCCCCCACCCCCGCCCCGCCTCCCCCCCTCGGGCTCCTTCAGGGCCCAGAGTGCTGGGCCAGGGATGGATGGGGTGTTGGTTGATTCAGCTGCTCAGGCGCTTTTCTGAGTGGGTGTGGGGGGGAATCAAGGGGAAGGGTGGACCTGGACTCATCAGGCGCTGTTTCTCCTCACCCATGTAGAGATGACGTCCGTGATTATCTTGGTGGTAGTATTTGGGCATTTCAGTCTGGGGACTGCTATCTCCGTGTTCTTCATCTACACGGCTGAACTACTCCCCACTGTCCTCAGGTAAGGGGGCTGGCAGGGGACAAAGTAAATGCCAGGCTAGGACTCACCTGGCCACTAGCAGAAGCCTGATGCCGGTGGCTCACGCTTGTCATCCTGGCTACCCTGGAGGCTGAGATCTGAGGATCGTGGTTGGAAGCCAGCTGGGGCAGGAAAGGCCGTGAGACTGTCATCTCCAGTAAACCACCAGCATCCTTGAGATGATTGCTTTATCTTATTTTGTTGCTGGGCCTGGGGCTCAAACTCTGGGCCTGGGCGCTGGCCCTGAGCTCAAGGCTGGCTGGCTGGCGCTCTACCACTTGAGCCACAGCACGACTTCCTGCCTTTCTCTGAGATTCACTGGAGATAAGAATCCTGCGGACATTTCTGCCCGGGGCTGGCTTTGAACCACAAACCTCTAGATCTCAGCCTCCTGAGTGGCTGGGATGACAGGTGCAAGCCACCAATTGAGCGTCCTGTCGTCTTGCAGGGCCACGGGCCTGGGACTCATGTTCGCCTCCTGGGCCGCAGGAGCCATTACCTCTTTGATCATAACCAGCAACGTCAAATCCCTCCTGCCTCTGTTTCTCTGCTGCGTCTTCTCCTCCATGGCCCTGTGCTTCTCCGCCGTCCTGCCTGAGACGCAGGACCAGCCCCTGTGGGACACGCTGGAGCACTTCACCAAGTCGGGGTGAGTGTGCGTGCAAGCCGCCCGTCTCGTGTCTCTGTTTCCCTTCGATGGTGTGGGGTCTCCTGCCCGGGTGCTGCGAGGCCTCAGTTCTAGCTGTCTGCCTGGCTCTTCCCGACTCCTTCTGTCTGTGTGAATTTGGGGGTTTCCTCTGGAAGCTTCTCTACCCCTCAGGGCACAGGTGGGACTCGCTTGGAATGGAATTGACCTCCAAACTAATTGTCCTCGTAAACTACTACATCGTCAGCTGGGTGCCGGGGCTCCCGCCTGGCATCCCAGCCACTCAGGAGGCTGAGATCTGGAGGATGGCAGTTCAAAGCCAGCCCAGGCAGGAAAGTCCATGAGAGTCTCATCTCCAATGAACCAGACTTTTTTTAAAAAAAAGCTACAGGTGGAGGTGTGGCTGGCTTACATGGTAGAGCGCCGGCCTTGAGGAGGAAGGAGCCTGGGCAGCGAACACGGGGCTCTGAGTTTGAGTCCCCACACTGACTTGGGGCCAGTGGGGGAGACCTGTGGGCGCACGGCCGCCCAGCTCAAGGGGTCTCAGGGTGGCCCGTGTTTCCTCAGTTTCCAGAAGGAGACGCCCCAGTCCACCAGCGACTCCAGCTTCTGGAGGAGCAGGGAGGACTCGGTCCTGGTGCCGCCCAAGGACTCAGGCTCAGATTACCTGTCGGAGGAGGCGGCCAAAAACACCATCCTCAACGTGCAGAACCTCAAGATGAGCTCCCTGGTCTCTATCCCCTCCGATGCCACCCTGGGGACCTTTGAAGCACTGAGCCAACCCAGACACAGCCAAGAGTCAGGAAGTAGTGCTCCCTGAGCACCAGTGCCCCCTCCCTCCCCCATGACCTCAGGCTGGACTTGACCTTGGGCCCGTTGTACCAGGACTGACGGGATGCCAGGCCATCATTTCTCATTTTGGAACCTCCTCACTGGGCAGAGGTGGGGAGGGAGACTTGAGTTTGGAGGCTTGGCTCTCTCAATCCAGAATGGCCCCCGCGGGTGCTTCTGGGAATGGACAGGCCCCTTCCAGCTATCGCCACTAATCTGGATTAAAGGCACCACGTTGGTTTTGAGACCTCCGTGTCCAATTTGGCTCTAATGTCGGAGAAAAGCCACAGAGGCTCTGTCCCAGGACTGGAGGTTTGCCAAGGGAACAGGCGGTGTCATCCTTAGAGACCCCAGAGGCCAAGGCGGGAGGATCGTGCTGTGAGGCCAGCCGGGACGGGTGGCCAGTGAACCACCAGAAAATGGCCAGAAATGCCTCTGGGGTTCAAGTGGAGGATTTGCTTGTCTTGAGTGGGAAAAACCTGGGGACAGTGCACAGGTCCTGAGTTCGAGCCCTGGGACTGGCACACAAAACAACAACAACATTAGTAATAATAATAGTATCATCCAATAGCAACATCTGGATGAGTTTAGGTAGAGGGCTCAGGTGACCGAATGCCTGTGGGTAAATCATGAACAGGCCCTGAGGTCAAACTCCAGTAGCACCAAAGGTAAGTAAATAAGTAGAACCATAAGCATGCCTATAATGCCAGCCAAATAGGACATATAGATAAGAGGTCCAGGGTCCAAGGGTGAGCCCGGGCAACCCATCCAATGCCAAAATGTAAAGTTGCTGGGAAAGTGACCCAGTGGTAGAGTGCTCGCCTAGCGTGCATGAGGCCCTGTGTTCGATTCCTCAGCACCACTCACACAGAAAAAGCCGGAAGTGGTGTTGTGGCTCACGTGGTAGAGCACCAGCCTTGAGCTGAAGAGCTCAGAGACAATGCCCAGGACCTGAGTTCAAATCCCCAGGCAGAGCAGAGTGAAGGGTTTGATTTTTCAAGGTGCTCCTGGGTCTCCCCAGGCCCAAATCCTTTGCCAAAGGGCCTGGGGGTGGAGTTGGCACAACCGGATGCAGAAGCCAAGTCACGGGGCCATCTTGCTTGTGTTGCAGTTTGCCTAATGATATGGGGACAGAGTTCACACTTGTCATGTGAGAGCAAACAGGTCAGCCTCAGTTAAAGAAAAAATAAACGAATCGGGCCATTACATAACCGTCATTCCACTTCTAGACTCCTTTCTGGTCTTGGCTCCTGGGCAGAAATGAAAAACAAGATTCCACAATCCCTGTCAAACGAGGGCAAAGTTTGTCACCAGAAAGGAAGTAGATTCCCCCAGGACCAGGCTGGCTTTGGGGTGTCCCCAACCCTGCCCATGAGGTCCGATCTGATCCTCTAGCTTGATGTGTGTTTTGTTTTTGCCACACCTGGGGCTTGAACTCAGGGCCTGGGTGCTGTCCCTGAGCTGCTTTTGCTCAAGGCTGGCGCTCTACCACTTGAGCCACACAGCACCACTGCTGGCTTTTTCTGTGAATGTGGGGCTGAGGAATCGAACCCGGGGCTTCCTGCATGCCAGGCCAGCACTCTACCACTAAGCCACACTCCTGTCTGACACCTGGCTTTATCATGGAGGGTTGGGGACACAGTCTGGCCTCTGAATTCCATTCATCCATTCGGTGTTTACTGATCACTGCAGAAAAACACATTTTAGGACATGTGAAAGGAAGGAGCAAATAATTAGGCCATTCTAAAGGGGTGTAATGTTAATATGAGGGGCTGGGGAGGTGGCTCAGTGGTAGAGCGCTTGCCTGACATGCACGAAGCCCTGGGTTCAATTCCCTCAGCACCACATTAAAAAACAAAGACAGAAGGGGCGCTGTGGCTCAAGTGCAAGCGCTAGCTCTGTGCAAAAGCAGCTCAGGGACAGCGCCCAGGCCCTGAGTTCAAGCCCAGGACTGGCCAACACACACACAAAACAAAAATAAACGAGTAAAATAAGTAATTAAAAAAGAGGAAATGAGTAAGAGATATATGCACAGACATGATAAATAAAATAAATAGTAATTAGGAATAAAATAAAAAGGACATACCAAAGCCCCAGCGCCCTCTGGCGGCCCCTCCCCCCTACCAGCTCCCTCCCCCATCCCCGGCCGCTCTCCCTCAGGCCCAAGGAAGGACCATCATTCCCACCCAGGACTCTGTGAGAGTCACGGTCATTCCCCACTTCCACCACGGGAGGGCGCCCCAGGCCCAGGACCCTGTGACAGGGACGATCATTCCCCACCTCCTCCACGGGAGGGCGCCCCAGGCCCAGGACCCTGTGACAGTGACGATCATTCCCCACCTCCTCCACGGGAGGGCGCCCCAGGCCCAGGACCCTGTGACAGTGACGATCATTCCCCACCTCCTCCACGGGAGGGCGCCCCAGGCCCAGGACTCCGTGACAGTGATGGTCATTCCCCACCTCCTCCACGGGAGGGCGCCCCAGGCCCAGGACCCTGTGACAGTGACGATCATTCCCCACCTCCTCCACGGGAGGGCGCCCCAGGCCCAGGACTCCGTGAGTGACTGTGCCTTGCGCGCCCTCCCGTGGTGGAGGTGGGGAATGGCCTGCCGGAGCTTCGGGGACTGGACAGGGCCCCATGGCCCCTTTCCAGCCATAGCCACTGATCTGGATTAAAGGCACCACGTGGCTTTTGAGACCTCCACGTCCAATTCTGCTCCCATGTTGGAGAAAATCCACGGAGCATCTGTCCCAGGACTGGAGGTCATGATAGGTTTGCCAAGGGAGCAGGCGGCGGCTCACAGGGTCTCATCCTTAAACGCCCCAGCGGATCGTGCAAGGTGGTGAGACTCTTATCTCCCAATGAACCGCCAAAAAATGGCCAGAAACTGCCTCTGGGGCTCAGGTGGTGGATTTGCTAGTCTTGCGTGGGAAAAACCTGGGGACAGCGCCCAGGTCCTGAGTTCGAGCCCCAGGACTGGTCAAAAACAGCAAAGTCCTCCTGGTGCTGCTTTCCGGAGACCCTCAATGCGCTTGATTTCCCGGCAGTTTCCCTGTTGTACAAGTTGGGGAGGCCACGTTTGCTTTCTAGGCCTATAGGCCTGGGCTCCGGAGAGACCAGAAATCTCATTGGCTGCGATGACTATTGGTGGGCGGAGCTTGGGGTGGTGGGCGGGGCCTTGAGACACCAAGCCCGCAGTGTGACCTGTCAGTCAGATGTGTTCTCCGCCTGGTTGGTTGTCACGGGGAGGCGGCAGGAATTGTCCTTCCGGCTGGTGGTCGGGGCGATATGCATTTTGGGGCGGGGTTAAGAAGAGGCGTGGTCAGGGGCGGAGGTAAACGTGTCAGTCAGGCCCTCTCCGTTTTCATTCGTTGCTGGGGCAGGAGGGCGGAACCTAGTGGGGATTGTGCTTCCGTCCACGGCGCGGGGGGGGGGGGGGGGGGGCGTGAGTGGGCGTGCCGGGGGCGGGGCTTGCAAGGCGCTGCTTGTGCGCGGCCCTGTCAGTCAGGCGGCTTCTCTTTCTGGTTGGTTGTCGCAGGCAGGAGGGCGGGACTGGGATGGGTGGTGCCTTCCCGGCTGTCATGGGCGCAGACCCTCGGTCTCCGCGGCTTCCCAGGCCGCGCTGGGCGGGGCCGGGTGGAGGGGGGCGGAGGGGGGGACCCCAGGCCAGGGCGTCCTGGGCCCCTCCCGGCAGGACACCACCCCCGACGAGCTCCTGTCGGCCGTGATGACCGCCGTGCTGCAGGACGTGAACCTGAGGCCGGAGCAGCTGGGGGACATCTCCGTGGGTGAGGCCCCGGGTCCCGACACCCCGAACCCCGAGATCTGCCCAGGGGAAGGGCGGCCGATGACCCCACCCTGGCCCTCCTCCCGGGGCAGCAGGGCCGCCTGGCCGTGACAGGCCGAGTCCAAGGGCCGGAGGAGGAGGGCTGTGCGTGCACGGGGGTGGGAGCGCGTGCAACGTGTGTGCATGTGTGTGTGTGTGTGTGCGTGTGTGTGCACGCGCATGCGCTGGTACTGGGGCTTGGACTCGGCCCCGGCTCCTGTCCCAGCTTTATCATCGTCCAAGGCCCGTGGTGCTTTACCCCCTGAGCCACAGCTCCACGTCCTGGTCTTTTGCCGATGATGGGGTAAGTGTTCTTGAGGACTTTTCCTCCCCCGGGCCGGCTGGGGGCCTCCGTCCTCAGATCTCAGCCTCCCGAGCACTGGGATGACAGGCTTGCTCACAGGAACACCCTGTCTAGACCAGGATGCAAGGCAGACAAGACAAAAGTCTGTCTACTCCAGCCTTCTCGCTGACACGGGGAGAAACTGAGGCCCAGAGAATTTGCCCCACAGCTGGGACTTGACCTCAGCCTTTACCTTCAGTCTACGGCCGGGTCCCATCCTGCGCCACTTCCCTTGACATATAATGAGCCGGTCGCGGGTGGCTCCTGCCTGCCAGCCTCGTGACTCAGGAGGCTGAGACCTGAGGACCCCAGTTCCAAGCCAGCCTGGACAGGAAGAAAGTCCATGAGACTCCTATCTCTCATTGAACTCCAAAACGCTGGAAGTGGAGCCATCAGAATGCCAGAAGTGGCACCAGATATGGCTCCAAGTGACAGAGCACCAGCCTTGAGCACAAAGCTCAGGGGCAGCGCTTAGGCCCTGAGTTCAAGCCCCAGGATCGGCACTCATGTGCGTGTGCACACACCAACCTCATTCCCCTCACCCTGGGCTCAGGTCTGTTGGCTGTCACGTTCTGTGTTGGGTTCTCAGGTTATCTGAAGGACAGGCCTCCTGCCCCATCCGTGCAGTTTTGGGGGACAGCATGGTGCAGAGGTATCTGACTGAAACTCTCCTGACTCCAGGAGCTTGTGTGTGAGACCCAGACAGGCTGTTGGAGAATGATCTGGAATACCTGTCTGCTGCTCACAGCTGTACCTTCAGTGCTCAGAGCGCTTCCTTAGCACTGAAGAAGGCTTTCCTTGTTCACAGGCAACGTGCTTCAGCCTGGAGCCGAGGCAGTGATGGCCAGGATTGCGCAGTTTCTGAGGTGATCTTGCCTGCTTTTACCTCTGAATTGGCCACTGAGGTTTTTGAGTGGATTCCAGCCCCCCAAAACTCAATGAGCCAGCCAGGTGCTGGTGGCATCACGCCTGCCATCCTAGCTACTCAGGAGGCCAGGATCTAGAGGATTGCAGTTTTCATAGGCGGGTCAGGAAAGTCCGGGAGAGCGTCATCTCCAATGCACCTCCAGAAAACAGGAAGTGGCGCTGTGGCTCAAGTCCGTAGAATGCTCACAAAAAGGAGCTCAGGGACAGGGCCCAGGTCCAGAATTCAAGCCCCATGATTGGCCAATAAAAAAATCAGAATGGGATCATGGAAGGATCATATCAAAGCAATCCAAAAATCCCTGGGATGGTGTTCTGTGGACCCAACCTTTCCCCTACAAGGAGGAGCAGGGGAGTGACCAGGTCCTGAGCCAAGGCCCACAGGGCCGGGAGACTGGGGGAAAGGTCGGCAGTCATGTGATTGTACACAACGTGAGCATGGCTGTTTACATTGGGCCTGAGTGGCCTCTGTCCTCCCATGTCAGGTAAATAACCGAAAAACATGCTGATCACTGGGCTGGCTTCGCTGGCGGGCACCTCTGCCCTCAACAGAAATTTAGGCAGAACCCGGGGCAAGGGGGTGGAGGTGGGGGACCGGAACAGCCCTAGAAACCTTGGCTTTCGGTGCTTGCTTCGCCAAGACGGGGAATGAGGGATTGGAATATTCCTCCCTCCTTCTCTTCCTTTTGCTGAACTCTGAACTCAGGGCCTGGGCGCTGACCCTGAACTTCTTTTGCTCAAGGCTAGCGCTCTACCACTTTGAGCCACAGCACCACTTGCAGTTTTCTGGTGGAGTTAAGAGAGTCTCATATGAGACTTTCCTGCCCTGATGGGTCTTGAATGGCGATCCTCAGCTCTTAGCCTCCTAAGTAGCTGGGATTACAGGCGTGAGCCACGGTGCCAGCTCATGCTTCACTTTGCTCTTGGGGTCTCTCCCTTGTGCGTAGGGCTGACGGTGAATGACGTGGACATCTTTGAGATCAACGAGGCCTTTGCCAGCCAGGTGAGCCTGTGTCCCTTGTGTGTGGCCCTGGGCGCTGGCGGCCCCGGAGGAGGGGTGGGGGCGGCTGGCACGTTGGAGGCTCCATCTGCTGTGTTTGCTTGCAGGCCCTGTACTGCGTGGAGAAGCTGGGCATCCCCCCTGAGAAGGTGAACCCCTTGGGGGGCGCCGTGGCCCTGGGCCACCCGCTGGGCTGCACTGGTACGCGCCAGGTGGTCACGCTGCTGAATGAGCTGAAGCGCCGTGGAAAGAGGTGAGGGCGGGGAGGAGGCCCGGAAGTGGAGTCTCAAGGGCCGAGGCCTGCGGTTCTCTGAACTAGGGAGGGGGAGGCCCTAGCCTCGCAGCCGGCCCTGGCCTGCAGGGATGGTTGCCTTGTCTGTGCCCTGCACAGGGGGTCTGATTCTGCAGCCTGTTGGTGGGGTGGTGGGTGGTGGATGGTGGGAAAGTCCGGCCGGCTGATGCCCAGGCCTCCCCAGGGCCTACGGCGTGGTGTCCATGTGCATTGGCACCGGCATGGGGGCCGCTGCTGTCTTCGAACACCCTGGAAACTGAGGCCCTGCTGGTGTTCCTGAACTCCCTGTCCTCCGTGGAGTACGGGACTGCAGCCATGATCCCCGAGCCCGAGCCCTGCCTCGCCAGGCGGGGTGTGGGGACATCGAGGTACCTTATCTAGTTTGGAAAAGCTGAAGTCAGCTCGCATGGCCCTCAGGGTGCGCATGGAGCGGGGGTCCCCACCAGGCCACCTCAGTGAGCGCAAGTTGGTGTGGGCTTGTGCCTGGGCTGGGTTGGGGGAGCTCTGGATGCGGCCTTGGTGGGTGGAAAAGCTGTGCTACGTCCCTCCTACGGCTGTGCTACGTCACTCCTACGGCTGTGCTACGTCACTCCTACGGCTGTGCTATGTCACTTCCACAGCTGTGCTTTATTTCTTGTTTTGAGAGGACGCAAGGCCCGGGCTGGATCCCTTGTCTTTGACAAATCCATCCCCATTTCCGGGGTGCGGGCCGGGCAGGGCGGGTCAGAAGGGCTGCGGGGTCATGTATCTCTCGTCGTAGGATCCTTGGCCCCGGAGCCTCAGGGTGCAGGCCTTCTCCCCCAGCAGGCCATCCACCACGAGGGTGGACTCGAACAGCTTGCTGCCCCTGGTGGTGGGGGGGGGCGCGGGGTGTCACAGGAGGCGAGCCTAGGGCCCCCCTCCCCGGAAGCGCCCAGAAAGGCCACCACTGGCCGTTACCTGGCGGTGAAAAACACCTGCAGGGTGACGGACGTTGGGGGTGCGTTGGTGAGCCTGGCCTCCAGCAGCCCGCTGCTAGGGATGACCTGGAACACCTCGCCCTCTTTCCGCGGTTCCTTTGGCCCTGCAACCAGGGGACAGGAGGACAGCCGTGGGTTGGCGGCTCCAGGTTGTGTCCCACAAGACACTTTGGTTTTCTTTCCCAGTTGTAGGACTTGAACTCAGGGCCTGGGCGCTGTCCCTGAGTGCTTGTGGCTCAAGGCTGGCGCTCTACTACTTGGAGCCGTCTATGGCGCCACTTCTGGTTTTCTGGTGGTTCATTGGAGATCAGAGTCTCACAGATTTTCCTGCCCTGGGCTGGTTTGGAACCTCGATCCTCAGATCTCAGCCTCCTGAGTAGCTGGGGTGACAGGCGGGAGCCACTAGTGCCTGGCACAAAAAGACGTCAGGTCTTTATCGGGGCCAGCCAGTTCTAAGGTGGTCAGCATCCAGGGCCCCCCCAGGGTGTGGAGGGCGGCGAGAGCCACACGCACCCATCATCACTGCCCAGTAGCTGTGGCAGCCGCTCAGGTTCATCAGGTAGACCTCGCGCTTCAGTTGCTGGTTCATGAAGCAAGTCCCAAAGTCCACCCAGCTGGTGGACAGCTGCAGCTCGGGCACGGCCACCACGGCCCGCAGGGGCACCACCTGCAGGGACATGACCTCGCTGATTTCTTATTTGTGATGTTGGTTGTGGGACTTGAACTCAGGGCCTGGGTGGCTGTCCCTGAGCTTTTGTGCTCAAGGCTGGCGCTCTACCACTTGGAGCCATGTCTGGTGCCACTTCTGGCTTTCTGGTGGCTCACTGGACATCAGAGTCTCACAGACTTCCCTGCCTGGGCTGGCCTCGAACTGCAATCCTCCAGATCTCAGCCCCCTAGTATCTTGAGATGACAGGTGTGAGCCACCAGTGTCTGGCTGTCTTTCCTTTTTTCCCTCCAGTGGATGCCACCCTCCCGTTGGGCAGTTGGGGAGCCTGGGGCTGGCCTGTGTGGTCTGGTTGGTGAACTCCAGGTACAGGTCCTGGGTGAACACCATCTCCTTCTCCCCGCTTGGCCTCTGTGTAATGTCCACACCCGGCAGCATCTGGTCGGCTGCGAGCCTCTGGTAGGACAGCAGCTCCAAGGAGAGTCGGAAGGACACATTCACCTGAGCCAGAGGTGGACACGGGTGTGAGGGCAAAGTCGGCCGCGCTCGGCATGCCTTCCTGTAGTCCTGACCACAACCAGCAGCCTCTGATCCCAGTCAGCCCAGACTGGGCAAAAATATCCCAAACCAGCCGGGCGCCGGTGGCTTATGCCTGTCATCCCAGCTACTCAGGAGGCTGACATCCGGAGGCTCGAGGTTCAAAGCCAGCCTGGGCAAGGAAAGTCCAGGAGACTCTTACCTCCCATGAACCACTAGAAAACAGGAGATGGCGCTGTGGTTCAAGTGGTAGAGCACCAGCCTTGAGCAACAAGGGCTCAGGGACAGCGCCCAGGCCCTCAGTTCAAGACCAGCAACAAAGGGATGGGGGGGGAGGGGGGGAATCTAAAAACCCCTAGTCCAGCAGCTCCCCCTTCTGAAGCATTTGTTCCACAAACGCTGCTGGATAGTTGCTTCATTTTTTTAATTCCTATTTTTCTTTTGGTTGGTTGTGGGACTTGAACTCAAGGCCTGGGTGTTAGCCTTGAGCATGGTTTGTGACACTCCCATGGACAACCAAACATAATCACAACCCTGCGAGGAAGCTAGATGTCTAGAGAAAAAAGAGAGACAGATGGATAAAGACAGGACAGACAGAAGGAGAGGCAAATAAGTCAGAGAGACAAGGCATGAGAGACAGAGACAGAAGAACAGAGCAGAATAGACAGAGGGAGGAAGAAAAAGATAAAGGAAGGGAAAAAACCAGGAGAGCATGTCAGAGGGACCAAGGAAGACAGAGATGAGGACAAGGACACAGAGAGAGAGAGAGAGAGAGAGAGTCAGACAAAGAGATACAGAAACAGCAACCAAGAGGAGGAAGAGGGAAACTGAGGAGGAGAGAATGGAAAAGAGAGAAAGTCACAGAAATAGCAACGGATAGGAAGGGGGAGAGAGGAGAGATGGAAGAAGAGACAGAAAAACTCAAAAAGACACTAGGTAGCTGCCATTTCTAGAAACCTCCTGAGCCCGCGCTGTGTGGCGTGCTCAGATGCGCTGTGTGGCGCACTCCTGCAGCTCTGGCCATCGCTACTGCAAATCACAGGGTGCGGTCTGCACTGCGGCGCTGGGCTCCCGGCTCACCTGCAGGTTGTTCTGGGCGGGCAGTGTCAGCATCCTCCCCTCCAGCGCCCTCTGCTTCGGGCCGCTGCCCCTGGCCTTGTCTCGAGAGACGGAGAAAGGGCTGGAGACCAGGATGCGGAAGTGGTGTGGGATTTCCGTGGTGTTGATCAGCCTCAGGGAGCGAGAGATCAGCAGCTCGCTCAGCACCTGGAAGGGGGGAAGGAGGGGCGACACGTCACTGCCTTCTCTTTTGGGGGTTCTGGGGACTCTGTGTGTGTGTCAGCCCTCCCCTGCCCCCCAGAAGGCCCGAGGCGCCCCTGGGCCGGGCCAGGCTGGGGTGCTCACCCCTGCGCAGGCGTCCTTGGGGATGAGATCGCTGGCCCGGCACTGGAACCCCAAGTGGCCGGCGGAGTCGAGTTCCATGCTCAGCCTGCGGGGGAGAAGGGCGGGGCCTCACTGCCCCCCGCTGGGCAGCCCTCCCCGGGGGGCCTGGCTGTGGGGAGCAGGGCAGAGGCGGGAGGCGAGCCCCTCAACTCACTGTGCGCGCTGCACGTAGCCGTGCAGCTCCAGCCGCAGAGGGTCCACGTCAAAGTCCTGCAGGCGACGCACGCAGCCCGGGAGCTCCCTGTCTGCCTGCAACCAGCACGCACTCACCCGCCGCCCCGCGCATGCCCCGTGATCCCTGCACTGAGCGGGCAGGGCGGCTCCCAGACACAGGGGTCAGGGGTCACGGGCCATGCGTAGGGTTGTGATGTCCCTCGCTGGAGAACGGGGGTCAGGGATCATGGGTCATGCATGGGTAGTGGTGTCCCTCGGTGGAGATGGGTCAGGTCATGCGTGGGTAGTGGTGTCCCAGTGGAGATGGGGGTCAGGGGTCATGGGTCACACGTGGGTAGTTGTGCCCTCAGTGGAGACAGGAGTCGGGGGTCACGGGTTATGCGTGGGTAGTGGTGTCTCTTGGTGTAGACAGGGGTTGGAGGTCACAGGTCATGCGTGGGTAGTGGTGTCTCAGAGGAGATGGGGGTCAGGGGTTATGGGTCACGCGTGGGTAGTGGTGTCCCCCGGTGGAGACGGGGGGTCGGGGGTCATGGGTCATGTGTGGGTAGTGGTGTCCCAGTAGAGACAGGGGTCGGGGGTCATGGGTCACACGTGGGCAGTGGTGTCCCAGTGGAGACGGGGGTCAGGGGTCATGCGTGGGTAGTGGTGTCCCAAGTGGACACAGGGGTCGGGGGTCACAGGTCATGCATGGGCAGTGGTGTTCCCTGGTGGAGATGGGGGTCAGGGGTCACAGGTCATGCGTGGGCAGTGGTGTCCCAGTGGAGACAGGGGTCAGGGGTCATGGGTCACACGTGGGTAGTTGTGCCCTCGGTGGAGACAGGAGTCGGGGGTCACGGGTTATGCGTGGGTAGTGGTGTCCCCCGGTGGAGACGGGGGTCGGGGGTCATGGGTCATGTGTGGGTAGTGGTGTCCCAGTAGAGACAGGGGTCGGGGGTCATGGTTCACACGTGGGCAGTGGTGTCCCAGTGGAGATGGGGGTCAGGGGTCACAGGTCATGCGTGGGCAGTGGTATTCCAGTGGAGACAGGGGTCAGGGGTCATGGGTCACACGTGGGTAGTGGTGTCCCAAGTGGAGATGGGGGTCAGGGGTCACAGGTCATGCGTGGGCAGTGGTGTCCCAGTAGAGACGGGGGTCGGGGGTCATGCGTGGGTAGTGGTGTCCCAGTGGAGACGGGGGTCAGGGGTCACGGGTCATGCATGGGCAGTGGTGTCCCAGTGGAGACAGAGGTCAGGGGTCCTGGGTCACTCGTGGGCAGTGGTGTCCCAGTGGAGATGGGGGTCGGGGGTCACGGGTCATGCGTGGGCAGTGGCGTCCTCCAGTGGAGACGGGGTGGGGGGTCCCCGTCTGGGGAGGGCGCTCACCTCGTTGTCCAGGCTCATGAAGCCCAGGGCATAGCTGCTGCACTCCACCTTGTACAGCTCACCGGAGTCCAGCGTCGCGGGGGTGAAGGAGACGTGGACGGCGCTCTTGCCCCTGGCAGGGACCACCTGGCCAGGCAGGGACGGCTGGGTGCTTGCCAGGCCCTGGTGCTTCCCCCCCC